TGTTCACCTACCCTTGCGTCTCCACACCATCCTCACCCCGCCCCATCTGGCCGCCACTTCTCCCTGCGCCCCGTGCTGACTCCCACATTCCCGGCCGCACCGGGAGGCGGTATCCTGGGGGAGGGCGGGGTGAATCAGCTAATCAGACGTCAGATGGGCGTCGTCGCGGACTCGCGAGCGCCCGATGATACTAATGGGCCGAGTGGACGGGGTGAGTGGAGCCGGCTCCTCCTTGTCTTCGCTGACAAGACCGCGCGAGCAAACTGTGGGGTCAGAATGTGGGCACATAGTGGGATAGTGAGAACATAGTGGTGGCTGGATATGGGTGGGTTGGGTGCTCTCAGCACCTTTCCTGCGAGTTGCGCATATCAGCGGTATTAAGTAATTAAGGGTATAACAATTTTACTGTTCATATAGCTCCATAGGAAGAGAAAATATTGCAATCGTGCGCCAGAATATGGCGAACTTTTCACAGAAATACCCTGGGCCCTGGTAACCAAAAGGTGGATAAATCTTGTTCTCCTACGTAGTAAATTACTTCTTCTAACACACTGTGTTGTCAGGATCCATGTTTTGTGGGAATTTAATACCGAACAATCGATTGGCGGCAAAACGTCTGATTGTCCTCTATGACCGCCGCTAGCGCCAAAACAGTTCAGCTAATTTTCTCCAAAATTGATATTCCTCGATCAATTTAAAGGAACTCTAGTCCTTCTTCTTCGAAACGGATATTTTGATTTTTCAATTTACTTTACTACAAGCCTCAACAACATTTTAAAATTTCCCAAAAAATGTATCAACATTTTTTTATTTAACTTCGTCCTCGTATAGCGTAAAAGTCTTAAAATCAGTTCTCATAATTGTTAAAATTTTGCTTTTTCAAAAATTGCAAAAGTTCGACATTGTTTCGGCGTCAAGATTTTTTTAAAAAAAAACTGTTTGTCAAAGACATATCTGGAAATATTGTCATGTACAATCTTTCGAAAATATTATTTGTTTTTGCGCAATTTTGCGTGAAATATATGCATTTTTTAAAAAAATATTAAACAATATTCTCTCAAAAATGACTCAAATTTTTTTCTTACAATTTTTCCTCATATACGGCATAAAAAAATGCTACTCTTATTTTCGGTACAAAAAAAAGCAGCAAAATGTTAACGTTCAAAAGCTAAAATATTGAACAAAGAGGATTTTTGTTAACACAAAATCATGTTAAAGCATTTTATTAAAAAAACATTCTCAAAATTGCTCTTTTTCTTTAATTTTTTCCGTAACTACAGTGACATCAGTTTATGCCCTGAGCTATCTCTCCCGATTTGTACTCTTTGTATTTTCGAAAAAAATATAACGAATGCGAGAAAGTATCTGCTGTAGCAGCACCAATTTCTCTATCGAGTGTGACATCACTATAACGGGAGTTTATTTAAACTTAACGATGTGAACTCCATTCCGTATTGTTCTGGAATTCTAGAGGCTAGATTTCCGTGAGAAACTGGAAGGAGCCCGAATTTCGTCAACTCCAAAAAATGCCAAGAATATTGCCAAGTTGAAAATTTGCCAAGAATATTTGAGAATCGTTTTTAATTTCTTTTTGTATTAAAATGGCGAACAGAAGAATCACAAAATGGTTTTACACTCTTAAATTATCTAAAGATAAATTTCGTCTCTTCAAGGTTTTCTTCGTTTCCTTTCTTTTGGATTATACCTTACATTTCATTTACGTTCGTTTGATGTTTGTAGACGTGCATGTCCAATTAAAGAGCCTATCTGTTTTAAATTCGGTTGTATCAAGAAAAAGGAGCATAATCGAATAGAATATGCTAAGACGGAGTATTTCTCCTTCATTCTTTTAGAAAATTTCTATTGGGATGTTTTTAGTGAAGTTGTTAATACAATCATAGAGTGCGTTGTTACTCGACTCAGGTAAAATTTTCGGGTTTATATTAAACGCAGAATATTTTCCCATTGATGTAAAAATTGAGTTTCAGGAGTTCAGATAAATATTTAAATATGATATAGAGATGACAAAATTGATAAAGAGAGTGGTGTGCCACCAAGGAATTTTAATATTATCTTGTAAAAAGGAATGAAAGCGTTGCCTGTTTGGCAGTTGTGGTTCATATTTTACAAAACAAAATGTTCAAACATCATGATTGTTTCTTTAGTATTTGATGTTCGTTCGACTCCTTCTAGGGTTCCTACAGCAATATTGTTATCTGAAAGCTCATATAAGGTTATCTGTAAATATAAACTACATTTTTTCAATGTTTAAATTAACATACACCAAATTTTACAGATGTATCATATTACGAGTATTGTAATCGATACTTTCGTAGTTGTTACAAACTTCTAAGGTACTTAGAAAGGTCGTACATATTCACATTTGAGCACTGAATATGTGGAATATTTTATATAACGAAGTAACATGTGAAATTTGCCCCTGATGACTAGGCAACTCCTAGCACTGGGTTCAGCAGTTCACATTTTTCTGCTGTCAAAGAGTATTCACTTACCTGCAAAGTATCTTCTAAAAGGCAAAGATCACATTACAACTTCATTACGTTGTGTGGCATGGGTTAAACGTGCAATAAATATAGGGAATAGCCAATATTTTGAGCTTTATTTAATTGTCGCAATTACAAAGATGGTTAAGAATAAATGTTTCAAAATTCGAGGGCATGTAGAGTGGTCGAACACAATCATATTTTGCTCATGTTATGGAATATCTGATCCAATGTATACATACATGACATTTTTTATATCTTGCCCCTGATGAGTAGGCAAGTCATTTTGGGTGGTGGGTTATCTTCGCCCCTTGCTACTGCTTTGCGCCATCCTTCCCGTACTACGGCCCGCGCGTCATGGGCCGCCAGACTCCTGACGGCGGTTACCTTTCAGTTGCGGTCAGCATTACGCGCTAGTATTGAGATAACGTCTTTTCCAACAGTTGCGTTACTCCGTTCCGAAAGGTCTTTCGAAGCTGCGTGGGATTTCATACATCCCTGAAGACAAAAAAGGTGGGAAACCGTCTTTAACGCGTACTAGCTTTTACCCGAGTTTTTCATGGGGTTTGTAGACCGTCTTAATGTCAAAGTGGCTGAAAAGGTTGTCAATTTTGACAGTGACCACTTCAATGCATGGGTCTAGGGTGTAGTGTTTACAGGAAACCGACCCATACCAACTATTACTTCAACGCTACCCCGTTAGGGCAACTAAACTACGGGTTTTGAAAACTATGGCCATCAGAGCAGCTGGAGTGTAATGAGGAACGGAACTTAGGGGCTCATGTCTAGCTAATGAATACAATGCTAACGCAACCAATCAAGCCGTACGACTGACAGCGACAACTTCTAGCACTGCAATTGACATCACCACACACACCGTCGACGTCAACCGTAAGATTTTACCATAGTCAAGGGCCACTGGCAAAATTGGCAAGTTTCGGCCGCTTCAACGTAAAGATGGCCTACAAACCCCATGAAAATCTCGGGCAAAAGCTAGTATGTGTTAAAATGGAATACATGTTTTGCAAATTAATGTGCTTATGAGGTCTTTTAAATTAACCAAATTCGTTTAGATGTGGGTGTCATCCAAATGTCACCTTGGACCTGACACAGGCAAGAAGAGTACTTTTTTAGAGTAATGGTGTAAATATTTAAATGACAGATTCCATTCAATTTAAAAATAACTAAAATTGAATACATTCCTCTACAGTATGAAGTACCTTTATTTCCCTATCCTAATCATGATATTCATATTTTATGATACATTTTATACAAAATTAATTCAAATAGTTTATATATTATATCGAGGTAATTATATATTCAATTGAATATAGCTAATGTGACAGTGGAGAGGTTTTTCCCCTCTCCTTTTTATAAATAATAAAGGCTAATATTAAATTTCTGTTATTTTCGTATATTTTTTTATGCAACGAATTTTAACTTTTTTAAAGTTGATATAGTAAATTATCTCACTTGAGGTAAGATGAGCCAATGTTTACTTATCAAATGTTCTAAATTTGTTTGATTAAAAACCTTGTGTTAATGTTAATTTTATTGTTTTCGAGGTCCTCTTATTTAAATCAAAACACTGCAGTTTCATTGTAATATGAAGTGTAAATGTACCAAATATTCGGGATAATATAGGTTGTTGAAATGAAAGAAAAAATTCAATGATGAAAATTTAAAAAACTTAAACAATTTATTTTAGCATAAATGCATAACACTGCAGTTCCATTTACAAATTCTCCAAGTCCATGTACAGGTATATTAAAGCAAATTAATTACACCACAACACTTCAATAAAGCACAAATCATTAACAATTTACCATATTTTTTTTGAAACAAAGACTATAAAAAATTATGCAAGCTGCTTATATAAATAAGAATTTGGCAGAATGGAATGAGAAGTGCTTTGAAGTATTGTGTTCACATTTGTGATGCCAATAAATAATTAAGTAAGAACAGCACAAAATAACAATAGCAAAATAAATACACAATTGAATAGTAAGATAAAATACATATACATATTTTGACCAAGGAAGTTTACACTTTATGATAACAACCCCCCCTGAGGCAACAGTTAAACTTGCACAAAATTAACTACTTTTGAACAGCGTATCATTTATAGAAAATTAAGAGTCTATAATATAAATGATCTACCAATGGACCTAGGAAGTTGTTAGAGGCAGCATGACATTTACCACTGAAATTATAACAACACAAATGCAGATGAATGCCTAATTATTATATTTAACACAATTATGTATCACAATTTTCAGCGGTCAACTTATTTTGAATTTATAACTATCCATTCCCTTTGGTATATAAATGCCCTTCATATTCCATTTACAACCACAGAACATTGATGTGCACTGTATACATGTGTGTCATTTCATATACACAAATATATGCACGCACACCAGCAAGAATATGTATTCACTTAAAGAGGCATTCAAGATTGTAATGAAATTTATTCTCTTCTCCAGCTCAAAGTATCTAATGTTTCACAGCACATACAGGAATAGCATTCTTTATTATATTATTCTAAACAAGTAAATTAGTACAGAAAAAGAGGTTACAGAAATATGATTTTCTACGAGCCTGTAATATAAGAAAAGAGAAACCAAACATATTAATAAAGAAATATACATAGTCTAATGCAGAACATCCGGCTTGTCATTTAAACAATAAATTACAGTAGATTTGCTGAAGAAGAAATTAAACATGACTAACTTGCCTCTGCCCTTTATGTGCTGAAGGGCCATTTCACAGTAATGATTCTCGAAAAAAATTTACTCGCAATCTTGACTAGATGAAATGCAGCGATATAGGTGTAATTAACAAAATCTAGAAACAATATATATACATAACTATCTAGTATTTCTACATTTGTCACAGGCACAATATTACCCAAAAAGAATTCAGTAACAAAAAGATTGTTGTTATTTCATTGCATGAAAGAAGGCTGACCTTCTCAGTTTAGCAGACATTAAGATTAACAATAAAAGAATGGAAAGGAACAACAACCCCACTTCCTATATAATCATACAAGTTGGTCCATATGTACAAAATATGAATCTGAAACTCTCTTGAGCTTGTAGAGAAAAGTGAGCTTTAAACTGCCTAATCTTTTTTTTACACTTCCTTCTACCAACTTCACAAATAAACTATATATATATATATAATTAGTCTTCAGGCCTTCAATAAAAAATATTTCACAGGAGTAAGGAGTCCCAACAAAATGTTTCTCATCAACACCAGGAAAAGAATGGACTTTTATTCTGGAATCTTTGAGTAAAAGTATCACTAAAAGAACGAAATCGCGAAGTGGTTCCAACATGACCTTTTGATCTGTGAAAAAAATAATAACAATTAGCACAAAAGAAGCTTTGAAAACAATGTTTAATGTATACATACATCCTTACTTTAAGAAAAATTTGTTACTACGATTGATAATAAATGAAAAGCCCTATTGATAAGTAATTGTTCATTCAGCTGTTAATCAAGTCTTACATGTAAAATTAACATGTTTAATGTATATTCAATATCAACCCAAATTTAAAAGCACACAAATATTCAACCACTTTGATTTATTATACATATAGTTTTGACAACTTTAGAAAATAAACATTGAGATATCAATTGCTACCCACTCCACACAAATCACAAAAGTGTAGAGATATTTTACCTTTCAACAACAACAGCAGGCATTTGCACAAGCTGAACAGGGCTTTTGCCATCTTTCAGAGCTTGTGTAAGATTCAAAATCTGACCTCTCATTACACTCATTTGTCTCTCAAATAAATGCCGGTCAAAGCCTTTATCTTGCTGTAAAGAAAGGAAAGATATACTATTCTGTAAACATCCACTTGTTAGTCAACAAGAAAGATCCCTTCAATGTGAATGTAAGTATAAAAATCTGCTAATATGAACTGTCTATAACATATTTGAAAACAGGCAATTCAAATAATTTGTTATTGCTTCAGCAAATTTGATTTTGACCAATTTTGTCATACCATCTTTTGCGGAGGAAAGAATTCATTTCTTTGATGACCTGGTACTATATATTTTGGTATCTGCACTCTCATCTTCGGTACCTTCTTTAAACAAAATCAATATATGCATATTGCACAAATTTATCATGAAGATTTCCAGTGATCCCCAACCCTACCTAAACAATTGATTCTTAGGTTTTACAAAAGGTGAATAGATTATAGTTCACATCAATAATAAGATATTGATTCTTATACACAAAATTAAATAATGTATTATGTATACATCGACAGTAGGCAACAGATCACACCTGAAACTATATAAATACACAATAACAATTAAAACATATTTGAACAATGTATCAACCACACTCAAACTATTTTAATTATACACAAAACATTTTCATCTTAACACTGCCTATCCAATTCAATCTGGATCATCATGTCTATCATCCTGATGAGGGAACATCTTTCTCATGTAGTTCTTATTGTTGAATTCCCCATACTGGACAGATTATCACAACTCTTTGCCTCCAATTTAAACAGGCATACCTGTTTTTTATTTCTTCAGCTAATCTCAACTTATTATAACATTTAGCATCTCAAATAAAAATTAATAAGGAAACTTTTTAAAATGAATCTTTGGTCTTTCAAGTGGATATGGTTGTAAAAGTAATGATTAATGGGAATCATCCCAAAGGAAAAGAGGCGTAAGGAAGAGCAATGTAATAAAACACACAGGGATGATGAAAGTAGAAAATTCGATTGGGGAAAAAATGGAATGATTTATTTTTGTCATAGCATGAAGAGTATGCAAAAAGTGAACTTAAGCATACCTTGAATAGATGGTACAGATCATCACACAGGTCTTGGACAAAATTCATATCAGAAAGCTGGGGTAGCACCAATTCTCGTGTCTCTTGACTAAATGGAACTTTAGCTTGAGGCAACCAAGCCCAATGATAAGGATATGCTCTCCAGGAATCTGGGTGTTTGAAAGGGAATGCTAAACCATTATCTATAGCAGCAATTCTAATTTCCGGTAGCTGAACGACATTCCATTCCTAGAAAAGACATTTCAATGACTCAAATGAAAAAATTTAATGCATGAAAGCTGAAATAACAATCGGTACACAATGTGGTATGGCAGGATCCACTCCAAAGGGGAAATAGTTTAATGCAGCTTTTGGGTCTCAAGAAGCCAATGAGAGAAAGGGAGAGAGAGAGGGGGAGAGGGAAGGAGAGGGAGAGAGAGGGAGGGAGAGAGAGAGGGAGAGGGAAGGAGAGGGAAGAGAGAAGGGAGGGAGGAAGAGAGAGAGGGAGGAGAGGGAGGGAGAGGGAGGGAGAGAGGGAGAGAGAGGGAGGGAGAGGGAGAGAGAGGGAGGGAGAGGGAAGAGAGGAGGGAGAGGAAGAGAGAGGGAGGGAGAGAGAGGGAGGGAGAGGGAAGAAGAGAGGGGGAAGGGAGAGAGAGGGAGGAGAGGGAGGAGAGGAGAGGAGAGGGGAGGGAGAGAGGGGAGGGAGAGGTGAGGGAGAGAGGGACGGAGAGAGGCGAGGGGAAGAGGAGGAGAGGGAGGGAGGAGAGGGGAGAGGGAGGGAGAGGAGGGGGGAGGGAGAGAGGGGAGGGAGAGGGGGAGGGAGAGGGAGAGAGGGAGGAGAGGGAGGGAGAGGGAGGGAGAGGGGAGGGATGAGGGAGGGAAGGGAGGAGAGGGAGGAGGCG